CATTTCTGTCTGAATAAAACAATACAGGTCAAGCCAGTGCATGCGAATGGATTCAGACCTCAACTCTGATAGCCTTGCAATGCCAAACGCCTGCAGAGCAGAGCCAGGCAAGCACCCAGCCTTTTCCCTGACTGATGCCAGGATTCAGCCTCCCTCATCTTCTATCTACCTCCCTTCCGGATTTAGTTTAGCATTTCATTAGCTTAAATACAGACAGAGAGTTTGATTTTATTTTACTTTCAGGTTATGTAGCTGTATGCTTATGTGTAAGCTAGAATAAAACTAGCCAGGATGTCTATTACATAGTCATTAGTAGGCTACCCAGTTCATTGGGGAAAAGAGCCTATTGGCCAATGTCCCCTCCGGCTTTCAACAAAATCAAACTACACTTGTCAGGAATGCCCCTTAACACACCCACCTCTCACTCATACACTGAACTCTGTACTCATGCTAAATCCACAACATCTCAGCTTTTCTTGCTCTACCGCCCACCTTTCTGTTTAAATTCCCTACGCTCCTCTATTTGATATACAGCTGATCATGCTGTTTCGGCAAAGTCAAAATAGCTATGTGTGTTGTACTGTACAGAACAGAACAGTCTTAACAATGAGCTGGAGATGTTTTGGCTCCTTTCTGACAGAGCACAGATGGCACAGAAACACTCATCTGCATGCAGGATTGGACCTCTCCCAGCCATTCAAAAAACAGCTAATTTTCCTATTTAGGCACACAGTTATCTTGCAACAGAAGCTCATCTCATCAAAAGTCATCCCATTAAAAATTCATTGAGGGGTAGATGCTTATCATAAGCAATATATCACATCTGAAAACAACATGATGTGCAGCGTTGTAAAGCATTATCACAAGGACGTGCACAAGGCCGAGCTAAAATTGCCTGAGCAACAGCCCATTTTCCCTCTGCCATTTGTCCATTTGCCCTTTGCCTGTGCTGCTCCTCTAGACGAATGTTTAATTTTTGCTTCTGTGGCTGCATAAAAATGTAATCGCCATATCATCCATACTTTCATTAGGCAACTTTATGATAGGCATGCCTCCACAGGAAACTGAGATGTGGTGACCCAGAGCTGTAGAAAAAAAAGTAATGTGACACTGTAGCATCCACTCTCTGTATTGCTGCCATTGTATGAGGGTTGCAATATATTTTTTTTACCCGCCCTTCTGATTCTGACATTCCTACCCTAACCCTAACAAATCTTATTCCTCATCCCTAAATGTAGCCAACCAAACTAATTAAGGTTACGAGTAGTAGCTAGAGTAGGACGAGTCATGACTTTGCCCAAAAATTGGCTCCTTTGGAGTTGTGGAAATGATAAATAACAAATGGTTTAACCAACAGGATGACCTGTGAATACAGATCTCCACATATGCTTCCGAACAATCGATAGCTTGGCAATATTGCCCTAGTTTATGCTATCACATGAACCAATCTAAGGAAGCTGGCTGGCTAACATGCAGTAGGGTTAGGGGTAGTGATATATTTTTCAGTTTAGAGCAAGAGCGTCTCAAAATGTTACATGCATGCACCTGCACTTTCACCTTCTTCAGTAATACTTAATCCATCACTGAAAACTCAGCAGTCTCTCAAGTCTCTCAGAAGCATCAATAAAGAAAGTTATATCCAAACTTTGTATGGAACCAGAGAAAAACAAAGTCCCCACAGTCATTTAAGGCTCTCTACATCTTCTGCCATAGATTGTTAGTTGGGGACTTTCAGGAGAGTACACAAACCACTGAAACTGTCCAAACTGAGCCAGTTGCATTGTGTTCATCTTTTCTTAACCGAACCAGATTATTTTTCCGCCTATGTTTATTCTGTAACCACCAGGAATGTCACAGACAAACATGTCCAACAGTAGGATTCATCCAGCTTCATTCTCCATTGACCGCTGTGCCTTGAACAGCTTGTTGGGATGGAGAATTTTTTTTGTAAGAAATGGTTTACAAATAAATGTGACTTATAAGTGGCCAACTTCATCGCTCTCAAACAACTTTTTTAGTACTGTAACAGTAACAGTTAAACAGTTTTTTATTTTTCAGCCACAAGTAATAATTCAACAAAAATAATTTGGTGAAAAATTCAATCAGAACCTTCCAGATAATGTGACATTTGGGTCACAGTGAAAAATCTGTGCTTTAATGAGTCTGCTATGCTGGTGAGTGAAAAATAAATTATGTAGATTATAGTACTGCAGTTACAATAATCAGATATTTTCAGTTTCACTCAGAGACTGTTTAAACCACTGCTGTTGTCTTTTGTGTAAACATCTCCCAAATGTTTGCAGTGCAGCAAAACACAGCAGACAGCTCAGACAGATGGTGTGACAGCCAATCATTTGCCCTGAGATGTAGTATTACAGAATTCTCTTAAATAACATTCCCACCAATGTAGGGCCAGTGTTTGCTGTGGTCTCAAAGTCACAGTAGTTGTTCCCCAGCAGCTATTGGCCAGTTCAGCACAGGTCTGCGGATGGTGCAATCCACAGAGGGTCGAACATCATCTCTTTTGGTTATTGTGTTTTTAAATCACTATTCCTTAATTTTCACCAAAAAAATAATAAAATATAACATGCAGTTATATAGGATGATATTATTCAATTATGAAGGGGTAGTCAAAGCTAAAAGGTGTGTGCATATGTGAGTTATAACTGTAACTGTGGGGTCTGAATGATTATTCAGAATAAACTTTTGGCTTGATGACATCTGGCCCACACAAGCTCAATGGGATATTAGGATGCACACAAACACTCCAGTGAATGTTTCATTTCTTCTTTCTGTCAAATTAAACAATGAGTGACATGAGTGTGGACAATGTGGTTGTATAGTACTGTATATTTATAGTGTATAGTGTATTGGGATCCCCCTTACTAGTTGCCTTGGCAACAGCTACTCTTCCTGGGGTCCCTATCAAAGAAAGTACATATAATCAGCCATCAGTACATACAATCAGCCATCTATTAAAAGAGAACAACTTAAATGGGTTGACAAAATAATAACAATAGTTCACTGTAAAAAAATGCTTATCTGGGCGTATTGTTTGTGGTATTGTGCCCAGTAACCAGGGCCCAGGGGGCTTTGTTGAAGTGAAATTCTATTTTTTTTCCCATACACCTTGACAGCGGTTCCCATACATGACAAGACCAATTTATTCATTGAAGAAATTGTTTCCATTGTACAGTAATTTATATATACTATAGCAGTGGTTGCCTACCTGGGGGTTGGGACCCCCTCTCAAGGTCACAGATGCTTCATGGGGGGTCACAAGGCCTTCTTGATTTTAAGGGGTGTAAGAAAACGTCTGTGAAAAAGTATAAATGTAATGTGAAGTATAATAGAACAATGGCTGTATAACTGTTAAAAATGTAACAACAGGGACGTATAAGACATCACAAATACTGTTGCAGCGGTGTCGTCAGACATGAACATACTTCTCACATTGCAAACAAAGAACTTTTCTCCCGCCCCATGCAGTACAAACAAAATCTGCCACAGAAAGGCTTTTTTTTTATTAGTCATCTATTCAGAAGTATTCAGTAGAAATGAAGGACAAGTTTCCTCTTTAGGGAGAAAGCTGAATGTGTACTGTAGCTATGGTAATGTACCTGAATGTATCTGTGCACACACAAATCTTTGACTATTAGTTTAATTCTGCTTCACACAAGGCTCGACAATGTAGTTGCTTTTAATTATACATTATCTTCGTAAGCTACAATCTTTCATTAATCTTCAGTCCAACACCACAATCAGCACTCTTGGGCCTCTGCCATTGAATGTAAATCTCCACGAAAGAAATTTCAGTCTTATCTTTGATTCTGGTTTAAAATTTGATAAACAAATCAAGTCCATAGTCAGCACTATAATCTTCCATCTTTGATCACTTACAAAATTAGAGTTCACGTTTGTCAAGAATTTGAAGACCACAGTTCCTGCTTTTATTGCTTCTCATTTTGACTACTGCAATTGCCGCTCTGTAGTCATTCAAACAGCCTTGTGTTTCCTGCAGCTGGCTCAAAAATGCAGCTGTGGTTGCTTACTGCTACCAAGAAGAGAGACCATATCTCCCCTGTTCTGGGTTGAGAAGTACAATTGATTTTAAGATTCTGTTTTTAAAGTAGTGTGTGGAGGGGAGCCTGGTTGTACCTCACAACTCCTCATCCCCTATTCCACCTCCAGACCCCTCAGATCTGCTGACCAATCACTGCTCTTCACACTCCCAGTTAAAATCCATGCAGGGGTAATCAGGCATGTTCTCTTATGTTCAATATGTCCACTAAACTGTGGACTAGTTTGCCACTCACTGTTCGACCTGAAACCTGTCTGAAGACCCATCTCATCATCACAGTCATCATGATTACTGCCCACGCTCTGTTTTGTATTTATTTGTTTCTGTTTATCTGCTCTCTGTGGTTTTATCCAAAATTATTTATTCTATGCATTTATTTATTTACTTACATCCACTTAATTATGTCAGTGTTTTTATATGGATGTATCACCAATTAGTTAATTTCATAATCTCATCTATCTGTAAAGCACTTGTGTTTTATACATACATTGATTTCATCTTTTACAGAAACTGTTTATAAAAGGCCATGGCTGTCAGGAAGACAGGTATGGGGGCCTAGACTAAATCAATCAAAATCTGACATTTCACTCAAAGATGTATTGGGGCCCTGCACACCAGGGGCGACACGGTAGCTGTGCAAAGTGACCTACTTCTGTTGGCCTGTAGTTATTCAGTAGTAATAATTTCTCATCTAGGTGATCGATGAGGATTAATAAATATATAAATAAATGAAGACACACCCACCCACCCATTTCCCACCACTGTCAGCTACCCTAAATAACAGAAAGGTTTTTCCACCCGCACAATTCCCCGGCATCTTCACTACAGCGTCAGGTGCGGCTCCATCATTCGCTGCAGGACTACAGGGGAGGAGTTTTTACAGCCAGGTCACACCCCCCTGCACTACAGCGCTCCGTCCTTAAAAAAAACACTAAGGAGCGCACAGCCCGTCCGTCACCGCACACTGCGAGCAAAATATGATCCCAACAAGAGCCGCTCCTGCGCTTCAACTCTTACGACAACCATTTCACTGCGTTTAATTTCTACTGAAATTACAGTCCATCGCCGAGTCTGGTCCTTGTTGAACTATTTTCCTCTCCATTCTCCCGCTCTCTGTTATTTTTTTTTCTGCGCTGGATCTTTCGTGCCAGAAAATGTGTGTGGAGAGCGATGGGTGCGAGATTGAGGGCTGCAGCAGTTCGGATGAGGTGCGCACGCTGTCGGGCAGCATGAGTCCCGGACTGAAATCCAACCCGGACCTTCACCCTTGCAAACCGGGGCAGAAATTCCAGGCAGCGCTCCTCAGATGCCGTTCACCGGCTGCCGCCGCCGGGATCCTCAGTTTTGGGAACGTCCTGAATTACATGGATAGATACACTGTAGCCGGTAAGAGACCTGACTTCTCTCTGTCTTTCTGCTATATCAGAATATATTTTTAGTTATTTCTCTTTATTTGCTGGAGTGACTGTACCTGCTTTAATTGCCTGTGAGATGTTCCATCAGCTCACCTCAGCGGAGACGGGCGGAACAATGGGCTTGCCTAAGCGCAGTGGACAATCTAAACGCACAAGGCTGTTGTGTGTTTTCATGGTTGTAGACTGTGTGTGCTGTGGTTAAATAAAAACATTTAGCCCACATGTATTCGCTATCACTCAAGAAAATGCTTCACAGTAATGATTTTAACCCGGGGCTGGTAGATAATTGCAGGTCAATCAATTAAGGCGATCAACTCTTCATCCACAAACCTGAGTGTGTGTGTGTATGTCGCTGTCAGACCAGTTTCAGCGACTGCAAAAAGAGAAAGAGAGAGAGAGAGAGAGAGAGAGAGAGAGAGTATCACTGTGAAGAATCAGTCATTAGTTCTTCGCCGTTTCTGGGAGCGATTTAGTCCAACATGTAATAGGCTGCCTGTGTGTGTTGTGCGGCAGCTCGCTGTGTGATGCTGTGACGAGGCCATGTGGTGTTAATCCTCCTCAAGTGTCCGCATTTCCTCACTGTAGGCCCAGAACATAGTTTATTAAAACTGAACACTGTGTACAGATAGACATTAAGCCTGTAGTATTGGAGTGTGGTAAAATGTGAGCAGTGCATTTGTCTGAGCTCAATTATGGACTGATAAATAACTGATTGTGAAGATTACTAATTATAAATATATTGTTGTGTCTGTTATATATTGTAAGAAAAAGGTATGGGTCTATAAGCCCATACAGTTTCATGCCATGTTTCTGATGGTCCCTCATGGGTCTTTTTAATTTTAGTGTATTATTATGGATTCCTTGTTAAGCAAGAATTGTCCTTTTGTTAAAATTAATGATGGTGCTATAACATATCATCATGTTTCATTAGATCAGGTCAACATTTGTCCTCATATTAGTTTTACCAATATTTGGGGGCTGGATTTTTTTATTTAGGCTACTTACCAAGGCTTGGAAAATTGACTGTGGCGCTGAACAGGTTAAAGATATTGCTGCAGCACAGAGAATGGAGGGAAGTGGGTTCATGGGGAGAGAGGCTCTTCCGTACAAAGAGATGCCTCCTGGTTGAAGTGCAAGTGTGTAGTGATACTCTTACTGACTTACGTGTGCGAAATACTCACACAACAGAAATCTTACTTGTGATTGTATCCTTTTACTTCTTCCCACGTTATTTGCTACATATATAATTATGCGACATCAAGATTCCTGAAACTGATACATCTGGAAAAAATGTGTATAATTTCACTCCGTAGCCCCTGGCTCAGAGAAGGAGTGGTTCATTCACACAGAACAATGTGTACACTTAAGTAGCCTCATGCCTCCGGCTCATTGTCCTGAAGGTTTCAGGTCCAGTCTGTCAACTGTAAAGAGTCAAGTCACAAAGCCTTGGGCGCCTAAATGATCATTACAGCAGCTCGACCTACAGCCACGCCAAGAATGTGTTGATGTGGCCTATCTAATCTTAGCGTCTTCAAGCACCACTCAGACAGTCACAGCAGTTTAACTGACAAGCTACATCCTCATCCTCAGTCGTGGGTGAGTCAGTCTCCCTCTACAGTAGCGATTTGTACTTAGACCTCCTCGTGCTTTGATCAGAGGAAACCCCTCATTAGGGGCCTCAGAAACAACTCTATTCTCCTCTGTCCTCTCCATCATGATCCTGCCACTACTGCCTCTGCTGTTCATATCTCATGAGTTGCAAGGCAGAAAATCCTTCGCTGGACCTCCGAGCGCTTGCTGTGCTGTGACGGGAGGACAAGTGACTGAGGAGAGATGAGGAGAACGTGAAAAAGGGAGGAGGAAGGGAGCGCAGGAGGATGGGGTTGGGGAGGGGAGGGGATGGAGGGAGGGGGGTGGTTGCAGCAGCTTGGGCTAAACCTCGTGGGGAGAGGCTGTGCTCGGTGCATGTGGTGCAGAGAGTCCCTTCTCTTCCCAAATCCTGCCACCTGAACGCTGCTGGACCGTTGTGCATTATGCATGTGCAGCATGTGCGTTGGTCCCTCGTACAGAATGAGGACCAGCAACCATGTGCATCCGACACAACTAATAGATGCAGCATGAGCTGATCTGCCATTCTCCCTCCTGCTTCCATTTCCTTCTATCTCTCTTCAAGCCTTTCTCTTCTTTCCTGCTGTGTGAGCTACATTGCAGTAGTAATTAGGTGGTGGAAGCAGCGCATCTGTGTTGGTTGTTGTGTGTGTGTGTGTGTGTGTGTGTGTGTGTTTGTGTGTGTGTGTGTTGTGTGTGTGTGTGGAGTGGCGTAACATAGAGCTGTATGGTATTTGAATATATGATATCAATATTGTGCTGTTGAATCAACGTTCACCCTAAATGTTGTCTTTTCCTGATGCAGTTTCTGAGCTTTACACTATTCTAAGTGAAATTAAATATCAGTTTGTCTACTTTTCATTTCCACCGCCTTCTTCCTTGTCTACCATCAGCTCTTTTTGTCTCTAATCACTGTTTCTCCAGCTTTTTTGTTCTCATTCAAACCCTTTCAGTAGCAGCAGGTACCCAAAGCGCATCCCAACTCATAGATTTTAATGTCAATTAAGCAAGCATGAGTGCACACACACACACACACACACACACACACACACACACACACACACACACACACACACACACAAACATACACGTTAGAAAAGACCCTCCCCACCATTTCAAGAGGGGCTGAATGAAAGAGGGGAGTTGTGAGGGGAGGGGCTGGCTGCTGCAGTGGCAGGCAGTCAGAGGGAAGTGGACGCAGAATGCAGGCAGCGTTGAGCCAGAGTGCGGCCGTTCCCCCTCGACGTCAAAAGGTCTTTGTACCAACAGCCATTACTGTAGTGTGTGTGGATCACTAAAGCATTGTCACAGAGACAGAGGGCGACCATTCCAGACACCGGGGCTATTCTGCTCCACAACAATGATGGGAAAATTGCACCCATGCACAGCAGCAGGGTCAAAGACTCAGATCTTTCTGTTAATTTCCAGTGTCAGAGGTGAAGCCACACACACACACACATAAAAAAAACACCACATATAAACTGCCATCTATGATTCCAACACTTGACAACACTCCAAGATGATGGTAAGAACCACAAAAGAAGGGAAAATTCACAATACCTCTTCTTTTTTTTGTTTGTATTGCTCTGGATTTGATAGATATACTGCCAATATGTTTTATACAAGACTTGACTATTTAATACCACAAGTTTGTGAGGAGGGACAGCTTCAAAACAAAGTAATTGTATGAGACTTGAGACTTAAACTGCTGCATATTGGAAGGGATGTTTTTGATCTCAGTGTGGCAATAGAATGAGTGAAAAACCAAAGTCCATATATATTGTAACGTCCTTCAGATTTCAGTGGCTTACTTCAAGTCTGGGAATGAAATTAACTGTAATCTAATCAAATTAATACATTAACTTTTCAAGTTCTCCATCCCATAAACTGCTCTTTCCATTCCTTTTGAAATGCATTTAGAATATCTGTTTCATTTTTGTGATGCAGTGCGTTCAACTGGGGATCATCAGAGGGCTACAAGCAGTTCAAATTTCTGAATTTTCCATTCCTTTATGTTGTGGAATTGGCAAAAAGACAGTGATCTGGTTTTTGTCAGACACACTTATGGGCCAGATCGAAGTGTGAACAGTCACAGAGGAGCCCACTATTAAGTTTGAAGAGTGCAGAAGAGGAGGAGGGTGTGAAAGACAGCAGTCAGCTACAAACAGTGAGTTGGACACTTGGCTCAGCTGTTCAGCTGGTGGATCAGATCTGACCTGGAGTGCTCCTTGTCTGTGATGCAGACAAGGCAGAAATGGGGAGTGTCTGGGACATTTGAGGGTGTCTGGATGAGGTATGCAGGGAATTGAGATGCACTGACTACAAGATTGCAGTGGAGACCAGAGCAGAGCCAGATGACTTACGATGCCCCAGTTGGGTCACTTGTGACTGGCCTTTGGAAGCAGCCATTTAATCCACAGCCACTTATATTCCATTTGATTTTTAGAGTGCATAAGAGCTCTGAGATTTAGAGGGCCACTATATTTAATTTAATTTGAGGTGGCTTGGAAACCTTAAATCCTGTTGGTGGTCTCTCCGTAGTCCCACAGCAGACAGTCCAAGCTCCTCGACAGCTTATCATAAAGAGGGGATTAAGTGTTTTTTTAGAGAATATTAGGATATGGGAGGCAGACATTCAGCACTTAAAGTTATTTGCTTGGTAAGTAAGTAAACCCTGGTGTATGTTAACTCTAGCCACCCCCCTGTGTGCACCCAGTCACCCCCTTCTCAGCCAGCAAAGAGGCATTTTGGGGGTTACTGACTGCAGCCTAATCTGAACAGAGATGTTGGGGAGCTGCAGATTAGCGCTTCCACCAGGCACTTTAAGCTGAGTTGTCTCAGTCAAGCTGTCATTCCAGGAATACCCCAAAACAGGGTCACATCCCATTGGACAACTGCAGGACCCTTGCATGTGAACCTTTGGCATCTTGCATATAGACACAGATGACAGTGTGGTAATAATCTTCTTAAGGCGAGCTCTTTGCCACACTGTAAGAAAGATGGAGCAGTCGATCCAGTCTGACAGGCTGTACAGATTCATTCCTGGTCCATTTGTCCAGCTCCTCTGTGGCTACTCATTATCACTGTCCACATTAAGCCCAGGGCATTCCTCTGCATTAGCATTTTCTCGTAAAGTAATCACAGGGTAAATGCTGAGCTTATTTTCTGTGTTCTTCATGTTTTCCGGTCTGTCACAATCTTAAGCAGTCTTTCTGAGTGGAAGTGCTCAAAATGCAAGGAAAGAGAACCACTTTCAGTTCCACAGAGGCTAGAAGAGAAGAGAAGTGAAGATAGTGTAGGTGTCCACTACACCACAATCCCAAATGTGGAATGTCTCTGGCCCTTTTTTAAAGCTACAAAAAA